TCGGATTTCTGCAGGGCAGGGAGCCAGGGAGTTCATCCCAGGGATGAACTTGGCCCAAATACCCCGAACTCTGCCCATGGAAACTCAGCTTTCCTGCCTCCTGCTCTCCTGTGAAGCAGGAATGGCTGAGCTGGAGAAGAGATATCCCAGAGTGACTTCCTAGAGGGATTTCCCACCCCAAAAGGAGAGGGTGGGAGCACACAGCTCACTGTCCCATGCAAACATGAAGAGGAACATCTCCCCTCGCCTCAGCTCCACTTTCCTCTCTTTCACAGGGCATCTATCGAGTTAACGGCGTCAAGACCCGCGTGGAGAAGCTCTGCCAGGCCTTTGAGAATGGGAAGGAGCTGGTGGAGCTGTCCCAGGCCTCCCCCCACGACATCAGCAACGTCCTGAAGCTCTACCTGAGACAGGTGAGGTGCTGGTGGTACCTCCCGTGGTGGGAGGGATGGGAGGTGGCAGAGGAACCAACCTGGCAGCAGGAATTCTGCACAAGGTGGGCTCCATAACCGGGGGGTGGGTGCAGAGGGGCCCCTCCCAGCAGGATCAGGTTGGCTGTGGAGTTGGGGCCCCAGTGACCCCCCCAGCTCAGCCCACACTGAGTCACAGCAACTGCAGCACGAACCCTCCGCCCTCCAGCTGGGGAACTGGGCACCCAAAAAGGGGAAGGGACCCAGCAAAGGTCACCCTGCACAGGCTGAGTCACGTCCCCCCGGGGTGGGCTCTGCCCCTGGGGCTGCCCTGGGCCGGGCTCAGGGGGATCTCTGCCCCTCGGGTCCCCCATGACAGTCCTGCCCCAGGCACCCCCTCCCTGCACCCAAACTGTCGGTGCAAACAGCATCACCCACATCCTCCAGCAGCCACCACAAGGCAGGAGGAGCGGAAGCTGCTTCTCCCTCCCAGGCAGCCGGGGATTAACTCTTCTCGTGCTGCCTTTCTCTGTGTTACATCACGGGGGGAGCCACGTCCCTGGGCTCCTGCACACCAGGAGCAAAGGTTCTGATTTGCCTCTGTGGTTTCTCCAAAGAAAAGTGGAGTGGAACAAAAGGGGTAACTCAGTCCTGAGCCCCGACCTGACGCCTCGCTGCAGACAAATGGGTTAAAGTCCCTCTGTGAAGGGCTGGTTGGAGGGAACCACCTCTGCTGTGAGGCAGCCTGTCCCCAAAATATCCGTTTAAACCACCCTGAAAACATCACCAGCCATGTGGAACACCCAGCAGTCAACACCAGCTCCGGCTGCTTCACACAAACTTCAAAGCAGAGTTTCCCCCACCACAGCCCCGCCTTCACCCCGGGCTGTGCCCTTCACATCCTGTGCCCTTCGCATCCTGCCTTTCCCACCCAAAACAACCCATCCCTGTCCTCTTCCCAGCCACCTTCTGTCCACTGGGGAACCTGCTGCTGGGCCCACCCCACCCAGAGCTTTTCCAGGCAAAAAAAGGGAATCACTGCACCTCGACCCAGCAAGGAGCAGCCACAGGTGGATCAAAGGCTGCTTTTGGCTTGAACTTCACAAGTGCTCCTTGGCCAGGACTAACAGGGCTGGATTGACACGCTCCAGGAGATGGATAAATAAACATCACCTGGGGGCAGAGGGTTTGCAGCACTGGGAGTCACAGACTCGTGGAATCCTGGAATGGAAGGGATGATAAAGCTCCTCTCGTTCCACCCCCTGCCCATGGGGGCACTTCCAGGGATGTTTCCTCGCTAAAAGGCCCCAGGTGTCCCCAGCTCAGCAGCTCAGGACAGGTCGGGGTCTGGCAGAGGTGGGAGTTCCTGGGACCATCTCCCCTCTTGTCTCTGCAGCTGCCGGAGCCCCTGATGCCCTTCCGGCTGTACAACCAGCTGATGGGGCTGGCCAAGGAGAGCCTGCAGGGCGGGGAGCCCAAGGGCCGGGGCGGGAAGGGCGGCCCCGAGCTGGTGGACAGAGGAGCCGACACCGACCGGGTGGTGCTGAGCCTGGTGCTGAAGCTGAGGGAGCTGCTGAAGGAGCTTCCCTGCGAGAACATGGCCACGCTCCAGTACCTCCTGCAGCACCTGAGGAGGTGAGAGGGGCAGGGACAGAGCCCCTGGGGGTGCTGGGAACCTTCCCTTTCTTCCCCGGGGCGGGGAGGTGAGCGCAGCTTCCTGGGGAAGCAACTGCAGTTGCTTCTCTCCCTCTCACGAGGCTCATGTGCTCCAGCCCAGCACTTCCCCCAACCCTGCCCAACCACCCTTCTCCCTCCTTGCTATCACAAGTTCCTCCTCCTCCTCCCCAGGATCATGGAAGTGGAACAGGACAACAAGATGACCTCAGGCAACCTGGGCATTGTCTTTGGGCCAACACTGATGCGTCCCAGGCCCACGGACGCCACGATTTCCTTGTCCTCACTGGTGGATTATCCCCACCAAGCTCGTATCATCGAGGCCCTCATCATCTTCTACCCCACCATCTTTGAGCACAAGGAGGTGGCGGCGCTGGCCGAGCCCGGCAGACGCGGCTCAGGCGCCACGGAGGAGGTAGGAATCTCCAGGGGGGTCATTCCATGGTGTTCTCTGGAGCCAAGTGAATGGGAACTCCTCTCCTCCGTGCCCTCACCACCATCCCTCTCCCTCCCAGCCCACGGCTGCCCCCAGCACTGTCCCCTACCTGGACCTGCCTTCGGAAAAGGGGAATTTGGCTTTCAGTGCCGACTCACTCGCAGGTCAGTGAAGGGCCCGGGGGGCTCCTGGTGGGTGCGGGTCCCTCGGGAGGCACAGGGGACACACGGACCCTTCCCCTGCCCCGGGCACCCCGGGTTTGCCGCACAAAGCTCCCCCCAGTGCCGGTGCTGGGCGGGACGTGGACGGGGCTCCTCCATCCCGCAGAGTCCGGCGACCGCTCCGTGGACTCTGACTCGGAGCTGGAGGAGGCTGGGGAGCCTCGGACCCACCTGAGCAAACAGGGCAGCGAGACCAGCACGGACGAGGCCCAGTTCTGCGAGGAGGGGAGCGAGGGGCCACGGAGCCGCAGCTGCAGCGCCGGCCAGTCGGACACCGAGGGCTCCGGGCCCCACTGCTGCAGCCCCGGGGACGAGCAGAGCGACGCGGAGGAGACCCCCGAGAGCCGCGTCCCTGCTGCCCCCAGGGACACCACGAGCCAGCCCAGCACCCCCGTGGGTGCCAGGGGCCGTGAGCTGCAGCCCCGGCTCATCTGAGCCACCCGACAGAACCACCGCAAAGGGGCAAATCCCAGAGACTGCCCGGACACAGAAACCTGGGAGGTGGAGGGGTGGGAGGGATGCTCGGAGCTGCAGGGGCCAGGGGGGTTTGGTGTGTCAGCTGCAGGCGAGTCCTGGCTGGTTCCTGGCTGGAGCTTTCACACGAACCCCCTGAGCCCCATGGCAGGGGAATGGGGGCACAGCCTGCCAGGACCTGGCTCAGCCCGGCAGCCGTGAAGCACCAGCTCCGGGAGACAGGGGCAGACCCTCCTTGTGTGCTTGTTCAGGACTGGGAAGGAACCCAGGGCTGTGCTGTGATGTCTGCCGGGTCTGGGGACGTCCCTCGCTGGCACTGACTGTGCCTGGCACCTGGAGCCCAGGATGGATCTCCTGCCCCAAAGCCACCAGAGCTCCCCTGGTACCAGCTGAAGGCATCTGTGTTGCTTGGATCGATGGGCATTTGGATCAATGGGCATTTCTCTCCTTGGCAGGATCCACACCAAGAGCAGCTGCAGGCTGTGGTCGGGCCCAGTGGCAGGCTGGCCTGGCTGCAGGGTCCTGAGCACTGCTGAGCTCTCAGGGGTTTGGTTTTACAGTCATTTGGTCTCCAAAGAGCTGCAAGTCCAGGACCAACCCTCTGCTCTTGGAGCTGGGCATGGAGCAGGTCCCCATGGAGAGGTGCTTCTTCTTCCTCCTCAGGGCCACCACACCCCAAATCCCTCCCCAGCCCTGGCCAGTATAACCTTGAGCTTCCTTTTCTGTAAAGAGATGAATCAACCCTTCAACACGACTCCACTACCTCTGCTGGCAAAGGGACTAAAGCCAAAGTGGGTATTTTTTTGAAGCTACGAGACTTTTCTGCACTGAGGCACAGAGAGACGAGTAGATTTTTAGCTTGGAATGAGCTAAGAGCCATCTCCTCCCATTGCCCTGCCTGTGGGACACAGGGGTGGTGCTGGGGCATCCCGGGCCCCTCAGCACTGCAGGGTGATGGATGGGAGGTCTGAGCCCCCCGGGGCCGATGGAGACACATCTCAGCAAAGGTACAGAACCCCGGGTGAACTCACAGGTTTGGGACTGAGCCAGGGAAGAGCTGGAGACCCCCTCGGGAGCTGTTGCTGCCCCACAGCTCTTCCCCAGGACGGCTGGGATTTTCCAGCAGGCCATTCCCAGGGCACGGGGGGGGGTCTGGGAGTGCTGCTGCCACGGCGGTACCGCGTGTGTGTGTGAGGGTGGGTGAGGATGATGAGGGTGGGTGTGAGTGAGGGAAGGGCGAAGGCTGCGCTTGAGCTTCCCCAGGGCCACAGCTCCCTCCTGGCTGTGTCCCCTCGGGGTCTGTCCTGCTGCTGCTCGGCGCTGTCACCTCCTGGCTGTGGTCACATGGACACGCTTCCAAAAATGAATAAAATCCGTGTGTTCCAACCCGTGTTTGTCCTGGAGATCAGAGTCTTCCAGACTCCCCCTGGCTGTGGGAGGCCAAGCACTGCAAACACAAGTGTTCTGGTAGGAAAACTGATGTTTAAAACCCCTCAGAGACCTGGGATGGATTAAAACGAGGGTGACTGGGGGTGATGAGCGACTCTCCATCGCGGGATCCAAACACCAAGGTCCCAAACCAGGCCCAGAGGGCAGGAGATCAGGGAAGGAATAAGCTAAGTCTGAACTGCAGCATCCAAAGGGCCCAGGGCAGCAGGTGAGAGCTCTGCAGGGCTCAGCCACAATGCAGAGTCGAGCAGAGTCCCAGCAGGAAGAGAATCCAAACGTAATGAAAAATATGGGTCTCGAGGCCTTGCCCCAGGGAGATGCTGAGCAACACCAGAGCACTGAGGGTACAAACCTTTATTACAAACCAGAGCCCATAAAACAGGGAAAAAAAGGCCTTTCCCACTCACTTCAGGACCCCACGGCTGAGTCCTTTGCTTTCCAGCAAAGTCCAAGCTGGAAAACGGGGAGGGAGGCCCAGTGACAGGACTGCAGAGAGGCAACGTGGGAAGAGGATTTCCTTGGCCAGCTCTGGAAGGGCAGGAAGCTCCAAGTGCCTGTAAACTGCTGCTGGGAGGGGAGACTGGGAGGTGTCACACAACTCCTCACACCCTGGAGAGAGAGAGAACTGGGGATGTGAATGATCTGCCCCCTCAGCCAAGCCCACCCACTGCAGAGCCCACCGAGGGCACAGGACCCTGAGATGAGCTCAGCTGCTCAGAGCATGGTGCTAATCATGCCACGGCTGTGGGTTTGATCCCTGTATGGCCCATTCACTTAAGAGCTGGACTCCCCTGACCCTCGTGGGTCCCTTCCAGCTCACAACCTTGTGATTCTGTGAGCAGGTGGCAGGGGAGCCTCGCTCTGCTCTGCACTAACAGCTCCCTCCACAAGCTCTGACACATTTCCTTGGAAGCAGCTGCCTCACACTGACCCTGGAATATCCCATCCAGCCCCCAGCACTGCCCAGAGCCCCCCCAGCCCTGGGGTTCCCTGGGCCTTACCCACTCTGGGGTCACTGCACCAGCCTGTAGGTGATGTACCGTCCTGCCGTCTCGCTCGGCCTGATGATCTTCACCACCTGCAGGGCCCCCAGAGCTCAGGACAGGGACACCCCTCCCTGCTCCCAGAGCTCAGGACAGGGACACCCCTCCTTGCTCCTCCCAGAGCTCAGGACAGGGACACCCCTCCCTGCTCCCAGAGCTCTGAAACCCCACCAAGGCCCATCCTCTCCCTCCCCTGGCACAGGGAGCTGCTGCCCCAGCCTGTTCCTCTCACCTGGCCGCGCTTTATCCCAAAGTACCGGGCCACGGGGTCCCCGGCTTGGATCCTGGGCAGCTGGTTCTCCCTCAGTTTGCTGTGCTGGGAGTCAAGGAGGAGCTCTGGACACGCTCATGGGACAGAAAAGAACCGTGGCAGGAGGGGGGGGTTCAGCCCAAAGTTTAATCACACCTGAGCAGGAGGGAGGGACATGCACAGGGAACCAGAGAGCCACCAAAGGGCCATTAAAGGGCCATCAAAGGATACTATCGGGCCAGTAGCTCTGTCACCTCCTCCTTGGTCATGACAACGTGCTCTGGGACCAGCTGCAAACACGGGAGAGGCTGAGATGAGCCAGGGACAGGGACCAGCCCCTCACACGGCTGGAGAGAACCCCCCACCCCGCTCACCTCGTGCTCAGTGATGTTGATCAGAAGCTCCTGCTGCAGGAACTGCTCCAGGATGTATTTGGGAGCCATGTCCACCAGGGACTGGAAGGGAAAGGCCAGTCAGAGGCAGCTGGGACAGCCCTGGCAGTGCCCAGAGCCACACCTGGGGTCAGCCTGTGCTCACACGGACACAGCCAGGCTGGGAATGAGCACATGGATCTCCTGGCCCCTGGAAAATATCCCTTCCCCCACTTCTCAGCTGCTCATGGGCCCTCGGCTGTGCTGCTGCCACCAGGACCAGCTGCTCTGGGAAAAGACACTTTGAGGCTGAGGAAGAGCCTGTGCCAAAGCACAACAGGCTTTAGTGAAAGCCTTTCTCTGTAAGGGAATGCTGGGGTTTTATTTACCTAAAACAGTGCTGAGAAAGAGACAGGGAAAGCCCCTAGCGCCCACCAGAACGCCCCGAGTGGGACACGGCCCCGTCCCCACGCACCTGCTTGGCCGAGGGGGTCATTCCCTGCTGCACCACGATCAGGGCCCGGGTGATGTTCTCCTCCTGCATGCGCTGGCAGTACATCTTGATCGTCTTGATCCCCACCTTGGGCTCCTCTGCGGAAGGAGCCACACCCGGGGTCACCGAGAGCCGCCCGCGCCCCAAACCCCCCTCCCCGCGAGGGGCTCCGCCAGCGCCGCTCACCGGGGAAGAAGACGAACATCTGGTCGGTGGGGTCGTCGTTGTGAGCCACCAGCACGGTCAGGTCGGTGCGGCGGGGGCGGCCCTCGCTGGGCTTGTCCCCGAACTGCGCCTTGAACTCCTCCAGCGTCTGGTCCAGCTCGTCCTGGGTCACCAGGTACCCGCGGTCGTGGCAGAGCTGCGGGAGCAGCGCCGGGCTCAGGGTTGTGCTGCTGCTGCCGCCGCCCCCGCGCCGGTCCCGTCCCCGGCCCGTCCCGCCCCCCGGACCTGCATGATGGTCTTGCGGATCTTCCACAGCCGGTACGTCTCCTCCTCGTCGTCCATGCTGCCCGCTCAGGCCCCCGCGGGCTGCCCGCGCTGCCGCCTGCCCCGCGCGCACACAGGCGGCGCCTGGGCGGTCGCGGGGGCCTCGGCCGCGGCGCCTCCTGGGAGATGTGGTCCGCCGCGGGCCGCCCCCGCCGCGGGGACTGGGGGCACGGGGAAGAACGGAAGAGTCTCCCCACCGCCGCTGGGGCGCGCCCCTGGATCTCTACGGCCCGGCCAGGGAGGGAGGGAACCGCCGGCCGCGGGGCGGGGCACGGCCCGCAGCGCCTGACACACCCCCCGCCCCGCAGCGCCTGACACACCCCCCCCTCCCCGCGTGGTCTCGCCCGATAAACACCCCCGCGGCCACCCCGCCCGCCCCGCGCTGCTATTGGCTCAGCTGCCCATCCATCACCCGGCCGGGCCGGCCCCGCGCGCGCTGATTGGCCGCGGCGGCGCGGGGGGGCGGTGCCTGTGCGCGATGCGCTGGGGCCGGGCGGTGCGGGCCGCGCTGCGAGGCGGGAGCGCGGCGGCGGCGGCGGCGGCGACGCTGCTGCGGGTCCCGGTGCGGAGCATGGTGAGTGCGCAGGGCCTGCAGGGGCTGCTCCCGGGGCTCCCCCGGGGACCGGCGGGGCGGGGGCGCGGACGGGGCTCCCCGCTGACCCCCCGCCCCGCAGTGCGCCCAGGCGGATGACTGGCGCTCGGCCAAGGCCATCTACGACTTCCACGCCCTCGACATCGATGGCAACGACGTGTCCCTGGAGAAGTACCGGTAGGAGGGCAGGGCCGGGGGCGCGGGGCCGGGGCGCTGAGCGGCGGCGGGTCTTGCGTAACCCGGGAGCCGCCGCCGCGCCCCGGCGGGCTCGGGGCCTCTCCCCGCTGACCCGGCCCGTCCGCAGGGGCTGCGTCTGCATCATCACCAACGTCGCCTCCAAATGAGGGAAGACCGCGGTAAACTACACTCAGCTTGTTGACCTGCACGCCCGATACGCTGAGAGGGGTTTACGCATCCTGGGCTTTCCCTGCAACCAGTTCGGGAAGCAGGTGCGCGGGGAGGGACCGAGCGCTCCCCGGGGGCGTCAGGGCGGCCCGGGGGCACTCACGGTCCCGGTGTCCCCTCTCAGGAGCCCGGGGACAACGCTCAGATCAAGGCATTTGCTGAGAACTACGGGGTGAAGTTCGACATGTACAGCAAGATCGATGTGAACGGGGACGATGCCCACCCGCTCTGGAAGTGGATGAAGGAGCAGCCCAAAGGGAGGGGCACCCTGGGCAAGTGAGTGTGGCAGGGAGGGCTCGGCTCGGGGCCTGGCTGGGGCTGAGGAACCTGAGAAAGGGTTTTTCTGACCGAAACTCACTCCTTGTTTTTCTCTCCTAGTGGAATAAAATGGAACTTCACCAAGGTAGGACACAGCTGCCTCCTCTGGGCCGTGCTGGGCTCTGGGGAGCTGAGGGGGTCCCCGAGGCAGGGAGGGGAGGGGGGAACCTCACACCCGGGCTCTGCTCTGTGCCGTTGCTCTGGATTTCGGGGCAGGAGCATTCCCAGGGGCTCCTGTGCCTGGAGACCCCTGGGAGCCCCTACCCCGCCCCAGGGTGCAGTAATCAGCAGACACACTCCCTGGGAGCCCAGCTGACCCCTGGACTCGCCCACGGGGTGTTGCTTCATTCCCCCAGTTCCTCATTAACCGGGAGGGCCAAGTGGCGAAGAGGTACAGCCCGATGGAGGATCCCTACGTAAGTGCCAGGTGGGAGGAGGGGACGGGAGTAGGGGATGGACAGGAATGTTCTTGGGGCACAAACGCTCCCTGTTCCCCGCAGGTGATCGAGAAGGACCTCCCTGCCTACCTGTAGCTCCGCTCCGCTGTCCCCCCGCCCGCCCCGGCCCCGCTGCCCCCGGAGCCTCCTCCAGCCCCATGACGGGCTGCCCCCAAGCCAGGTCCTGGTGGGGCAGCCCCGACCCCCGGCGTGCACCGCTGGACTGAGGCCCCGGGAACGCGGCTGCCCCGGGCAGGAGCAGCCGGAGCCCCCTGGCAGTAACTGGAGTCCCCTGGCAATAAAGACCTTAGGAATGAGCCCGTGGTGTTGGGGGGAGGGATGGAGCAGGGATGGGACTGGGGCTGCTGCTCTGCTCCTGGTGAGAACCTGGAGCTTTGCTGGGAGCCAAGACCTTACGCAACTCCTGAGCTCCTGAGCAGGGATAATCCCCGGGGCTGAGGAGGAAGTGCACACAAATCCTGCCTGAGCCACGATCCTGAGGGGCTCCTCGGGAAAAGGCAGAACTAGGGGAAGGTGAAGCTGTGTGTCGCAGAGGGGATGGGTCCAGCGGTGGCACAAGCCCCATCCAGGAGCAATTTCTGCAAAACAGAACCCAGTGGTGTTGCAACACAGTGAATTAACGTCCCACAGCCAGGGACAGGTCTGACCACAGCAAGCAGGACCATCCTCCTCCTCCTCCTCCTCCTGCATGGGGCAGTGTCTTGGCTCTGCCAGGGCCATGCAGGGACACTGAGTGCCTCTTCCCCAGGGCCTGGGGGGTGCTGGATCTCCCCTTCACATCTGCAGCCCCCACAGGGAGCCCCATCCTCAGCAGGGATGGGAGGGAGCAGGAAGAGCCCCGGGATCTTCACTGGGGTCCCCCAAGTCTGCTCCCCCCTGTGTCTGCAGTCTGGCACCTCAGGGATGCTGGAGGACCCCACTCTGGGGCGGGGGGGCTGTTTTTGGGAGCTGCCCCCCAGCTTTGGCCCAGATCACTCCCTGGGGCTCACCCCGGGATAACGGGGCCAGCAGTGCCCGGGTGAGACATCCTGGCACCGCGGCAGCTCCCGGGGGAGGGACACGACAGACAGAGGCCCCTTTATCTGTGTTTGCCCAGCAAAGCAGGGCAGGAGCCGCCTCATCCAAGGCCAGTACTGCAGCTGGAGCCACCAAGGATCCTCCTCTGCAAGGGCAGTGGCTTCTCCCAGGGAGAGGGGGAGGCTTGGGACAACAGCCCTCAGTGCCACCAAGATGACATGGGAGATACAAAGTCCAGCCGCCAGCAGGACCCTGACCCAGGGATTCCTGATCCAAGTCCCACTGGGATCTTGGGGTGGGTTGGACAGACAGACAGACAGACAGCTGGGACTTACAGAAATCTCACTTGTGGCTTCTGTTCCATTTTTACTGAGCAGAATGAAAAATTATCCTTCTGAGGCAAGTAGAAAATTCAGGAATGATTAGTCCAAGGCACATATTCTAAAAAAATCTCTTTACATATGTACAACTCCATCAATTATAAATACACATAGAAACCAAAGGCAAACAACAAGCAGATTAAAAAGTGCCAACAAAAAGGTATCAGGGAAGAAAACAGGGACTCATTAAAAATACAATCAGTAGGACAACGGCAGAATAATTTAGTTAAAAGATAATGTTACATATTATTAACCCTGACAAAACACAGGATTGGGGCAGGGAAGGGATTCGTTGAAGGTGCTCTCTGTCTTCCCAGAGACCAGGGAGGGAGGATTGCATATATTTTAAAGTTAAGGTCAAAGCCACCAGGTAAGGCTCCGGTGATGGCAGAGGGTGCCCAGCGGGGAGTTCCCCCTCGTTATTCCTGAGTTTCAGCCTCTCTGAGCTGCGTTTTCCTGGCGCCTTTTTCCCTCCTTGCTGAGAATTCAGCCCCGAGCCAGATGCGGGAGGTGCAGCCGGGGCCTCTCTGCCACGGCGAGGGCTGGGACGTGCTTTAAATAGGGGAGGGTCTGGGGAGGGGCAGCCTGGCTCTGCCCGCCCCGGGGACAGGAGAGAGGAGCAGAGCTGGGGGAGAGCAGGAGCCCCCCGGGGCAGCAGCAGGGCACGGGGGGAGGGACATGGGGGGCTCCCCCCATCTTTGGTGATCACTTTGAGGTAAAGGAGGTTTCCTTGGGTGCAGTGAGATGTGCCCCTGACAGCAGGGAGTGACTCCAGCCCAATGGGTGGTGGGAGGCAGGTGCCAGCTGGGGAGGGGGGAAGGACAGGGACCAGAGTAACCCCAAACTGAGCCCACACGTGTGGCACCGGGGCAGGTCCGTGACCTCGGGGTGTCAGGGAAGGCAGCTCCTGCCTCGGGCACAGCACAAGGCTCCAGACAGAGACCCAGAGCAATTCCCAACACCCCTCAGGGCACCAGGCCAGTCCCCGAGCCCTGGGGGGACACGGCAGGTCCCAGCCCAGAGGAGGGGACACTGCCAGGCACTTGGCAGGTACTGACCTCTCAGGGCACGGGGGACCCCAGCCCAGGCCTTCCTGGCTGGACCCCCTTCCCAGGTGCTCTCTGAGGAAGGGCCAGACCAGCCAGGGAAGGTCCCAGGTCCTTCCCCTGGAAGCATCCCAGTGCCACTCTTAGGAAACACCTCGATGAGCGACAGCAGAGAAAGGAAACCCAGCAAAGGGGAGGCTGGCAGAGGAGCAGCTCAGGGGAGGTGCTGCTGGAGAGGTGCTGGAGGTGGCCAAGGGCCAACTTCTGTCCCAGGAGGAGGCAGCTGGTCCAGCTGTGGGACAGGGGGTGGGGCAGTGCTTGCAAAACAGCCTTTGCTCTTTGTTATCCGAGAGCGAGGTTGCAGCAGGAGCAGCCAAACTGGGCACCCCAGGCAGTGACAAAGACCCTGCACACCCTGAGCAGTGACACTGACCCTGCACACCCTGAGCAGTGACACTGACCCTGCACACCCTGAACAGTGACACTGCACACCTTGAACAGTGACCCTGCACACCCTGAACAGTGACACTGCACACCTTAAACAGTGACACTGCACACCTTGAGCAGTGACCCTGCACACCCTGAGCAGTGACACTGCACAGCCCGGGCAGTGACTCTCACAGTGCACATCCCTGAGCAGTGACCCCGACACTGCACACCCTGAGCAGTGACACTCACACTGCACACCCTGAGCAGTGACTCCCAGGCTGCACACTCAGCACTCACCAGGGAGCTCTTCCCTTTCAGGGCCTGGGAGTGGCTGTTCCCAAGGTCAGCAGTGGCCAGGGCTGGGCTGCTCAGTCCCAGACCCTCGGGCTGGGGTCCATGGCCCAGCCAAGGACAGTGCAGGACCAGCAGGACAGCCAGGTGAAGGGACATGTGACAGCAGGAAACTGGCCAAAGCATGGCTGGTCACGGCGAGGTTAAAGTGCAGGACAGGGGACACGTGGCCCTTTTGCTCCGGGGAATCCCACTGGTCCTGGCCTGGCTGAGCTCTGACAGACTCGAGCTCTGTCACCGTGGGGGTGCATCCAGCTCCAGCCTCCCCACGGAGCTCAGCAGCCCAAGGTTCCTTCCCAGGAAGGGAAGGGCAGTGCAGGCAGTTTTGGGTCTCTCAATACACCGGCTCAGCCCTACCTGAGGACAGCTGAGCTCAGCAGCTCCCAACTCCGCTGGGACAGCATTCCCTTGCCCTTCATCCCAGCCCTCCAGCACAGGCTGGGGCAGCCCAAACTGGGGGTCTGGGCTCCCACCCTTCCCTAAGGGACCAGCACCAGTCACTGGGTGGCTCTGGAGCCCGGCTGTGGCCCCGCAGAGCACTGGGATGGAGGGCTGGGCAAGGCCTGGCCTGGCTCGGACACTCAGTAGTCTGTGGGGGTGGGCAGAGGAGGGGGGTCTCCCCTCAGTCCCACCCAGGCACTGACCTGTGAGCAGGACTGGACACAGCAGAGCCCCTCGGCCCCGCGGGACCCGCTCGGTTCCCCCCAGGCACGTTCCACCCAAACCTGTTTCCTCCCTCAAACCCACAGAACGGTCAGTCCAAACGGGCAGGACGTTCAGGGCTCCTCAGCTCTCACCTCTGCCCCGGAGGACGCAGACCCACAGCGGCCGAGCTCCGCTGGCATTCACGGCTGGCACTCAGAAATCCAGGTGGGGCCCGCTGAACTGGATCACGCTCTGGCGCTCCTGGGGGAGCAGGTTCTCCTGGGGGAACGTCCTCAGCATGTCCTCCAGGATCTCTCTAAAGTTGATACTCCCATCTTGCTGGAGAAAATCCTCCTGTGGCTGTTGCAGGGGTGGCGGGGGGGGCGGCGCTGGGGGCTCGTGCCGTGAGGGGCCAGGGGCCACACCACCCTCCAGGCCAAAGCAAAAGGGCAACTGGTGCTGCTGGTGGGGCTGCAGGGGGGGCTCCGAGGGGAAGCACAGTGCTCCGGGCTCCGGGTTCATCACCACGTCGGGAATGCTGCTGCTGGGAGGGCTGCAGGTCAAGTCCAGGATCTCGTCCTGGCACAGGGAGGGCAAGGACAGGGGTAGCCTGGGTCCTGGCAGGAGGTGCAGGGGCAGGGAGAAGGGTGGGCCCTGCTCCTGGGCCTGGAGCAGCCGGCTGTGCTTCCGCTTCACGTCCTGGTCCATCTGCTTCAGCTCCTCCCGCACCCTGTGCACGCAGCTCTCGGGGATCTTTATCCCTGGGGGAGGAGCAGACATCAGTCCCCACAGCGGGGAAGGGATGGGGCACTCTGGGGACAGAGGGAAGGGCAGCAGCACCGGGGGTGTTCACATGGGCATGGAGGGGACAGGCCTGGCTCACACCCTCTGCCCGAAGGCGTCGGGGTAACCCCAGCTCCCCTCCCTCCCACCTCAGCAGCGGGCGCTTCCAGGCCGGAACACGTCCCTTTTTAGGAAGGGAATCTTGGTGCTGGGCAGCTGGACCCCTTCATCCCACTCTCTCTCCCCTCCCCAGCACTTCACCCACCAACTTGCTTCTTCTTCTCCTTGGTTTTGAGGCGGACGATCTGCAGGTAGCTGCTGGCGGTGATGTCGGCCATGATGCCGGCGATCCTGCTCCACACGCGCAGCAGGGCCCCGCACAGCATGTAGTAGTGCCGCAGGCGCATGCCCTGGAAGCACTCCTTCCCCTCCTGGATCAGCTTGCAGCTCTTGTTCCTTGGGTTACCAGGGGAGAAAACCACCAGGATTAGCACAGGCTCCCGGAGCACAGCGGCTTTTCCCCCCCGGCCTCCCCCACTGCCACAGACAGGGACCCCCCGGCACAGGCCCTGCCTGGGGAGGGAGGACGTGGCTCGACGACTTTAAGCTCAAAGAGGGGAGATTTAGATGGGATATTGGGAAGAAACTCCTCCCTGTGAGGGTGGTGAGGCCCTGGCTCAGGTTTCCCAGAGAAGCTGTGGCTGCCCCATCCCTGGCAGTGCTCAAGGCCAGGTTGGAGAGGGCTTGGAGCAACCTGGGATAGTGGAAGGTGTCCCTGCCTTTATTTAAGGTGCCTTCCAACCCAAACCATGCTGGGATTCTGTGGCAGGCTGGGGCTGCAGCTGCCTTACCACACGGCGTGGTTACAGTTCTTCAAGGAGAAGTGGTAGCTGCTCTCCCAGTGCTCCTTGGCTTCCTCGGGCATCACCTGCAGCACAACACTCAGCATTAGGCATTTTCCACTGCCCAACACCCAGCGAAACCCGGGGCTGGGAGTCAGGACACGCCAGTGCTCCCACCATCCCTGCCCAACCACGACAGCACCCTGAGGAGCTGTGATGGGGTTGGAAGGAATGTCCTTCCAACCTCCCCCAGCCCACAGCCCCCACAGCAGAGGCGGCAGCTCCCACCTACCCGCCGGTACTTCTTCTGCAGACTGTCCAGGCTCTCGGGCTGGCTTTGCTTCCCGATATTTGGCTTGTAGAGGATGAAGTTCTTCCCACGGCTCTGCTCTGCCAGCAGACAGGTGTATTTGCTGCCTCGCATCTGTGGGGTACAGCTGATGGTTACAGTCACAGCCTCTCTCCCCAAGCCCAGGTTTCTCTAAAGTAACCCCCTCCCTCCAGGATGGAGGTTCTTGGAGGCATCTTCCAGCCCTCAGGAAGAGGTCAGACATGGAGCCCGTAGAGCCACGGCAGATCTCCCACTGGAGCCACCCCTGAGCTGAGGTGCCACCCTGGCAGAGCCCAGGGACATACCTTGTAGGAGAGGTAGAACCCTTCGTTGGCTCCTGTCAGTTTGAGCGACTTCTCATAAGCTTCTTCCCACTTTAAGCCTCTGTCGACGCTGATCTGAACAGAGACACACAGAGGGATTTGTAACTCCAGGCACAGGACAAGTGTCTCACAAATCCCACCCTCAGCACAACCTTGGTGCTGCTGCAGCCCAGAGCCAGGCAGAGACAGGTGCCCACCTTGTAGAACACGACCTGCCCGTCCTGCGGGTGCCCCGGGGTCAGGAAGACCTCCTTGCTCTCCTCATAGATCTCATCCACTCCTGGTGCTAAATCTGTGGAAGGAGAAAAGGCTGCTCTAAGGAAAACCCACCCAAACCACCTCCTTGGGTCTCAGGATCTGTGCTGGGTGGGGAAGCTGCAGTGGGGAACCACCCTCAGCCAGCACAGGAGGAACAGGGAACCCCTGGGGTGCAGGAGGCAGAACTGTGGCCACCACCCCCCTCCATACCAAGGATGCCCATGTCGTATTTGCCCTCCTTCTTGTCCTTCTCAATCAGATAGTCAAAGGTGTCAGAAAAATACTGGAAGAGCATGTTCTGCTTGTCCACCTCCAGGCCCAGGATGCGGTTCAGGAATTTGGTGATGGAACAGTCTGCAAGAGCACAGTGAGTCAGGGAACATGGTGCAGCTGGGCACAGAATCCACCAGCCCCCTCCAAAAGAGCCCCTCAACCGGTCCCACAATGTCCCTTCCAACAGCAGCACAGCCCGAGGGCTGTTCCTGTGGGCTGGGAGCAGCTTCAGGGCCATGGGATGTGTGGGGCCATGGGATCTGCAGCACAGGCTGCTCCCACAGGACCTTCCCTTCAAGGCAAACATCCTGCCCAGCTGCCCAGCAAACCCCACAAGGCTGGGTGGGCCGTGACACCCCTGCCCCTTCCGTCTGCCCCCTGCTTTGGGCAGGAGCAGCTCGACACGTACCCTTCTCCACCGAGACAGTGCCGTACTTCATCTGACTGCAGCAGATCCCCACGGAGATGAGCCCTTGCTTCATCTCTGAAATGGCAGAAGACACTTGGTGTGTTTTGGGGTGAAGCCTCCCCTCAGCAGTCCTGTGGGGCTGCTCCCCCTCCAGCAGTGCCCGTTGTTTGGCAGCTCAGCCTCTCCCTGTGCCTGGCAGGGCAACATCGCCCCACTCACAGTGAGCTGCTGAGCCAGTGGCATTTTCCTCCCTCTTTCCTCTCTCTGACCTTCTCCTCAGCTCTTCCAGAGTCCCAAACCTGAGACTACTGTGGCCAGGAGAAACCCCGGAGCTGGTAGTGTTCTTACCACGGAAAAAGTCGGCCTCCCGTCTCTCGTAGCTCTTGGGCACAGGAACTCTGTTCTCCATGTGGCTGAGGATCGTGGACAGCACCCTGTCCAGGGCTTTGGCCCCATACTGTGGGAGGAAACGAGAGTCACACGTGGGAGGAACTGACACCAGAGTCCTCCACCCAAGCCTGGCTCCCGTGCCTGTGGGAGCTGGAGCAGCAGGGAGCTGGGGGAAGCTGGGGGGACCTGGGGGAAGCTGGGGGGAGCTGGAGGGAGCTGGGAGCAGCAAGGAGCAGCAGGGAGCTGGGTGCTAGGCTGGGCCCTGCCTGCAGGTGCCACCAATGATCTTCCCAGCTCCAGACCCCACCACAGGCTCTCCCAGCTCCTCCAGCCCCCCAGGCCATGCTGCCCCAGGGCAGCCCTGTCACCTTGTTCTCGAAGTTGTACTTGCTGAGGTCCCGGGACTCGGTGGCCCGTCGGTCCCCATGAGTTAAGGCACCCTGGGAAGGCAGATGGAAGAAAATATGACTTTGAGCTGTTGCAAAACACCAGGGAAGGATGGCCAAAGGAAGAGGCCGGGATGGAAATGTGCCATGGGGAGGCAGTGTTCCTCAGGGATACTGAGACTTTACCAAAGCACTGGGGAATTTATCAGAAGTGAAGAAAATGAAACAAACTCGTTATTCTATTAATTATTTCATTAGCTTTTTGGGAATAAACTGTATGCTCTGGTAATAGAGGGGGAATTCCAGCATCTGGAATTGGGTTCTGCTTCCCTGAAATTCCTCCCAACGCCTTGATTACGTATTCTTCCTCACTTCCTTTCCCAAATCCCAGGATGCTAAAAGCCTTCTGCATTCCACAACTGCAGTGCCTTCAGTCAGGGGTGACACAATCCTCCAGTTACACTGGCCATGCCAGTAGGAGCCCCAGCATGGAATCTCCTCAGAGGGAACTGGAGCTGATCCCTGCTGTGGGCACTCACCAGGCTCTCCAGGCGTTTGGCCACGATGGATGCAAACCTCCTCTCCCCTGCCAGCTCTGAGATCAGGAACACGTACTCTGGAGCAGAGACCTGGTTCGATCGGTGCGTTCGGCCTACGGGGACACGAGAACAGGGCTGGAAGGGGAGCTTGGGACGGCCTGTCTGGAGCAGGAACATAACCAGAAAAGCCAAATAACACCCGTCCTGCTCACCCTGCAGAGTCCCTCCTCTGCCCCAGAGCTCAGGACCATAAGCCCAGCTCTGCCAAGTCTCAGCAGCAACAGGGTGTGTGGCTGTGACTGTGGCTCTGTCCTTTTCCCACAGAGACATCTCCTAAATGCACCTGCCTGGCTGTGGCACAAGCCCGGCTCAGGCAGCCACCCCCCCTGTCCCTCCCAGGGTGCCTGGGCTCCACGGCCTGGCTGACACTCAGGGGCAGGGGGCAGTGCCCAGGGACACTCAGGGGCAGGGGGCAGTGCCCAGGGACACCCGGCCCTCACCAAACTGCTGGATGGCCCGGTCCGCGCTCCAGGGCAGCTCCAGGGTCATGTGGACCCGGCGCTTCTGGTTCTTCACCCGTCTGTCTGCTTGGAGGGAGATCCCTGAGCTGGAGGCCTCCGAGATTATCGCTACGAGCTACAGGAGAGACAAGTGAGAACAGGGTGAGGTTCCTGGACACGTGTAAAACTGCTTCAGGAAACGGGCCCGAGCACAACAGCAACCCCGGCGCACAGAAGGGATCTGGGAATCCTCGCCAGCTTCCAGCAGGTCACACCAACAGAAAGTTGCTGGCCTGAGGCTGGCGGGGCACAGGGATGCACAGGCACCCTCCCTCCCCTGAGCCCCTCGGCTCGACCCCGACTCACCTTGTCCCCGTTCATGAAGCGCTCCTTCTCCTTCAGGTTGACGTGGTCTATGGAGAGCCCCTGCTCCGCGCGCGACTCGAACACCACGGAGCCGTCGGGCCTGCGGACAACACGGCCCTTCCGGCCCGTCATCTGCACACAGAGAGGGGCTGTCAGAGGGAGACCTGCACGGCCATCCACACAGTCATCAATAGCTTTGCCACAGTGCCAGGGAGAGGGAACCCTCTGCCAGCAGGAACCTTATTTTTTTTACGGAAGAAATTTTTCCCTGTGAGGGCTGTGAGGCCCCCGGCCCAGGTTTCCCAGAGAAGCTGTGGCTGCCCCATCCCTGGAAGTGTTCAAGTCCAGGTTGGACAGGGCTGGGAGTAACCTGATCTAGCAGAAGGTGTCCCTGCCCAGGGAACGAGATGAGCTTTAAGGTCCTTTACAACCCAAACCATTCCATGATTCCATGTTGGCCCCTTTCCCTGTCACCCTGCCACCAAAATACACTCCTGACAGTGGGGAGTACCTCAGCCACGTTCTCCGGGCCCCCAAAGTAATCTATCAGTTCATCCAAGGTGTTGAGAGGTAGCTCTTTGCCCAGTGCTTGCACTTTTGCCAGGAGGTCCTGCTTCATCTTTTCCACGATCTCCAGCTCTCTCAGGCCGTGCAGCTCTTTCTGGGAAGGCAGCATGTGAAAACTACCTGCCATGGAAACAACAAAAGTTCAGTTACCTGGTAACTGTAAATCAGAGAGGGGGAAGAAGTTGTGTCAGAGTGTTTCTGGGGGCACTGTCAATGGGCAAAGACACCATGACCTGTAGTAAATGCTGCTGAGCACGGAGTGAACTTCCTCTGGGCTTCCCCATTTTGGTGGGGGAAGGAAAAAGGGCAAATCCCTCCCGCTCGCTGATCACAGCAGGGAAATGTGGATCCACCTCACAAACCCAAGTGTGACCATCAGGATAAAAACCAGCCAAGGTCCAAGGCTGCTCCAAGCCCGGAGGGGCTGCCATTCCCTGCAGGACCCAGTGCCCCCGTCCCAGTGCCCCCCATCCCAGTGTCCCCATCCCAGTGTCCCCATCCCAGTGTCCCCATCCCAGTGTCCCCATCCCAGTGTCCCCATCCTAGTGCCCCCGTCCCAGTGCCCCCGTCCCAGTGTCCCCGTCCCAGTGTCCCCATCCCAGTGCCCCCATCCCAGTGTCCCCATCCCAGTGTCCCCATCCTAGTGCCCCCGTCCCAGTGCCCCCGTCCCAGTGTCCCCGTCCCAGTGCCCCTGTCCCAGTGCCCCCGTCCCAGTGCTCCCCATCCCAGTGTCCCCATCCCAGTGCCCCCCATCCCA